AAAATGAATTTTCCATACAATTGACCATTAAATAAAAATAGATTTTAAAAAACTCTGAAGAAAGGAAAATGAAAAGAGACCTCTGATTATTTAGCAAGAAACACAGGGTAAAATTTTATGTTGGAACATAGGAGGAAAGATAGTAAAATACAAACTTTTCATCAAATGAGAAAATGAAAGACTCCAGGTTTTCAAATGCATTTTAATTATAAAATTAGGAAGCTACTTAATCAAGAGTCTATTGGGAGGGGACCAGCAGTTAGCATAATGGCTATGTTGCTGGACTCCCATGTAGTCGACCTTGGTTCAAGTCCTGGACCTGGTGGCTTAAACTCACACTGGGCGCGTGTGCGTGTGTGCCCAAGATCCCAAGGGGAGAAAGGAGGAGAAGGGACTCCTGGGGAGTGATTTCTTGCTGTCTGTCTCTCTGTCTCTCTCTGTCTTTCTGGCGAGCACACACGCCCTAGAGCAAAATCTCTCCACAGAAAAAAGGTCCTTTGGGAGGAAAGTGAAGTAGAGGGGGCACGGCCTTCAGCACTCACTCTGGAAAGTGGAAGACACGGGCTGTAAACGTGCTCATGCGTAGCCTCTGCACCGATGCTGAGGACATCGTAGCCTTCAACGTCGTGCACACACGGGGACCCCGAGTCGAAGAAGACAGATTGCAGTTAGTGATCCAAGGTGATGGTAGGAAGACGGACTAGAGGACCAGGCTTCTGGCCATTTCTCTAGCCATTTTGCCTCAAAGGGCCAAGGCGGGAATTTCACACTGAACTTTAACGTGAGCGGGACGGAGTTAGTTTGAGACTGAGATTCCTGGGGACAGCTTGGAGTGCAAACGTGTTGCCCATTTGATTTGGAAAAGAGCCGTCTGCTTTGGACAACACTTTCGCATTTTTTGGAAAATATTCCCATATACTGACTGCGTTTTTTAGACTTTAGCCAAGATTTCATTTGATATTCTTAACACCTGAAATGCTGCCAATCAGATAAGAGAAATGATTATCTATTGATTGGATATGTGAAGGACAAGCTTTCTCCTATGATGATTTTGAAATTCTAGGCATATTAATGTAAAATCAAATCCAAATGGAGGAATTGAGACATGAGTCTTCCTGCTTAACTGACCTAGGTCTAATTGCATTTCTGGGCCTAATGCTGCATTTATATTTTTTTTTCCTTTTTTTTTTTTTTTTGAGAGGTTTTTGCTATAGGGTGGGTGTACTCGCCAGAGAGAGACAGAGAGAAAGAAAGTAAGAAATCACCCTCCGGGGGGATGGCCACGCTGCAATCCCTTCTCCTCCATTCTCCTCTCGGGATCTTGGGCTTGCACGCACACGTACCCGGCGTGAGTTTAAGCCACCAGGTCCGAGACTTGAACCGTGGTGGACTATGTGGAAGTCCAGTGACATAGCCATTACACTAACTGCTTGTTCCAGCTGCATTTCTATTCTTAAGGAGAAAGCATAACATTCAAATTTCTTGTTGGAGCACATAAGTATAGCAAACAAATACTAATAATAACAAAGATGGTGATGACAATTAAAATCTCATATATTTTTTCCATTTCACTTGAAATTGAATGTTTTTTTTCCTAGCTTGTTTCATTTTGGTCTCATCCCAGTGCTGGCAGTGATGTTACATTCATTTACTCTAACATCATTATTTTTTTAGATAACTAGAACACCAAAACCTTTTTGAGTTACTTGATTTGCCCAAGCACAGAACTTGTTTTGATCAAAATGGACCAGGACTGGAATCCTGGTCTCTTACAAATCTCAGATGATCTTCCTTCCTAGTTAGAATTTGAAGAGGTCAGAGAAACTAGATTAGTCTAAGGTTTTTGATATGGCTTAAGTCACTGTGGGATTCTTCTATGAAAGACTTCAGTAGAGGAACAAAACTTGTTGTCACAGGTGGGTATGAGAAGAATGTAATATTTCAAAGATAAAGAGAGAAGGTGAGAAACAACAAATTTGGAACGCTAGACTGTTCACAAAAAAGAGGAATGTGGTGGAGGTTTGATGGGGAATTCTTAGGAGATTTGAAAACAAATACTTATACTAAAAAAGCACATTGTGTGGATATTGTTACAGGGTTTGGCTCTGTCTGCATGGAGGCTTCATTGCTCTTACACAATGCATACAGTAATCTAAGCAAAGTGTTCAGCCCAGAACAGAGTATATTAGTTTATTATTACAGGTCACTGCTGTGATGACTCAATAGGGCAGACATGTTTTCTTTACTAATGGTAAAGCACCTTGGCGCTGGTTTCGGGCAGACCTGGAGCTCTGGTTTCACCCTCTACTGTCCATGTGAACTTGAGTGATTGTTCTCCAGCTTCAGTTTCCCAAGTCATAAAGCAGGGCAGCAGTAAATACCCATCAGGGTCGTATGAGAACTGAATAAGACAGTGTGAACAAAATATTGGTCTTGGCATAAATGCCTCTCTCTCCCCAACTGATTTGCAAGGGGCGTTGTAGCTACTGTAGAGAGTTGTCGGCAGCCAGTAGCACCTATAGAGTGGAGTCGCCCAGAGGGTTCAGCTGTACTTCATCTGCTCAAACGGAACGTTACTTTAACATTTACTCACACACCACAACATTGAATTTTCAGGTAGTTTTCTCTCAGTCTTTTCCATCACTTGATGAGAAAAATGTCATTGTGATGTGCTTGGTTTTATTTTTTTGTTGTCCTATATACTTTAAACCTTGATTCTTTACCTTAATAGCAATTATCTCTGACATTGAGATTTATCGATCCTAGACTTTATGGTTAGTAAGTTTAAGGTTCATGCTTCTGTTCATTAGAAAAAAAACCCTTAAATTCATATAGAAAATGCTGAGATACAAACTCAATTAAATAGTTTGAAACTTCTCATAAATCTGAAATACTTATCAAAAAATGAAATTCAAATATTTATTTGATAGAAGAGAAATGACAAGAAATATAGAGAATACAAATCAATAATACCATGCAGATTTGAAATACCATACTTTGAGTGAAATATAGTTCTTTCTTGGTAAAGAGATGTAGAATTCATACTGCTGAATCTTCATTTAACATTTATTTTATTGTTATTTTGGATTTACCTATTACCATTACATATCTTTGTAGGATATGGCTATTTTTAAAGCATGTATACAGTGAGTAATAAATAAATCAAGGGTTTAAACATGTTCTCCTCCTTCAACATACAACATTACATTATATGGTGCACATCTGAAATTCGTTCTACTGGTTATTTTGGAAGTCTGTATAAAACTGTCAATTATATTCTTTATTATGAAATACAGTTCTGAAGAAAAACAAGCTAGCTATTAAAAAAGTCTAATAAATTAACAAGGATAGATTTTTGAAAGCAAAGATAATCATAACACAGCCAATGAAAAATAATTTATCATTTCCATGTAGAGGATTGTGGGAGCTAAGAGTTTATAATCTGAAAATATCTGTGGCATCAATTGTTGGTCCAGTTAGAGATAATAATAATTCCTTAGAAAGAGATAGAAAAACTCACCCACTCTGAGTTCTTGGAAGACCACAGGTACTCTCATTTTCCAGTCATATCTGTGGTTTCCTGGATAACGCAGTAGTTGTAACTGTCATGCTTAACACTTTTGTAAAGTCAGGGGAGAAAAAGGGTAGGGGTAGGTATGAACAAATTTAAGAATTAAATGAAAATTTTAATATTTTCAAGGGAAATTTTGATTTCCTTCATTACATTCTTTATCTCCAGAAGTTCTGTTGATTCTTTTTCAGAGTATCTATCTCCTCGTGGAGTTTCTCTTCATTTTCTCATCTCCTGGAATTGGCTATCTGGTTTCTCTTACAACTCACTGAGTTTGGTTTTAATGAATATTCTGTATTCTTCTTGATGTTTCTGAGATCTCTCGTTTTAATCATTTTTGGTGAGGACTTACATCCTTTTCGGTGAGGTATTTCCTGGCTTTGTCTTATTTTTGGGACTCTGACTTTTAGTCATCTGATAATATATTCCTTTCTACTTCTCTGGGGTATGTCCCTGCAGCTGTGTGCTCACGCACTTTCCTATGGTGTGAGCTAGTGTTGTGTCTGTCGCCTCTTCTACTGTAGGTGACAGTGGAATCCACAGTGGCCATTTGGGGTTCAGACTTTCACAGGACAGTTTCTCTTCTCCTGCTGAGAGGTTTGCGGAGAGAGAATTTCTCCAATACCTTACTGTCTTGAGGTGTTTGGCTCCTGATTACCAAAACGTCTCTGCCCCATGTGGCTGGGGCTGAGCCAGACAGGTGGCATGTAAGCTAGTTGTGCAATCCGTGTGCCACACACAGCGCATGCTGGAGCAGCCCCTCCTCCTCACCGCAAGCAGAGCAGGGGTCTGTGGTGGTCGGGTCAGCCTGGCAGCATTGCCTCTTTCCTTCCCTGCTGCCCTCTTTCTCTCCACACTGCTGAATTTTGCTATAAGCAGGGAAGGCCATTTAACTCGAAGGTATTATTTGAGTTGCACTTTAGCATATCAAAATGAATAGATGTATTTATTTTCAGTCTAGTTGCCATTCTAGGCATCACGAAAATTATTTTGATCACAAAAAGATCTTTTATGTACATTTAAAAATAATGTTCAATGAAAATAACATGCCATGCAATGATCTGTGATATGGGTACTAGCCACATATAATTAGTGGGCTGTTTAATGCCAAGTTAGCTACCACACTGAGTAGGTTATAGATAGTTAAGACTAGTTTTATTCTGAAAAGAATGAAACTGTAAAAAGTTTATTTAAAGGGACCAGCAGTTAGCCTAACATCATTATTTTTTTAGATAACTAGAACACCAAAACCTTTTTGAGTTACTTGATTTGCCCAAGCACAGAACTTGTTTTGATCAAAATGGACCAGGACTGGAATCCTGGTCTCTTACAAATCTCAGATGATCTTCCTTCCTAGTTAGAATTTGAAGAGGTCAGAGAAACTAGATTAGTCTAAGGTTTTTGATATGGCTTAAGTCACTGTGGGATTCTTCTATGAAAGACTTCAGTAGAGGAACAAAACTTGTTGTCACAGGTGGGTATGAGAAGAATGTAATATTTCAAAGATAAAGAGAGAAGGTGAGAAACAACAAATTTGGAACGCTAGACTGTTCACAAAAAAGAGGAATGTGGTGGAGGTTTGATGGGGAATTCTTAGGAGATTTGAAAACAAATACTTATACTAAAAAAGCACATTGTGTGGATATTGTTACAGGGTTTGGCTCTGTCTGCATGGAGGCTTCATTGCTCTTACACAATGCATACAGTAATCTAAGCAAAGTGTTCAGCCCAGAACAGAGTATATTAGTTTATTATTACAGGTCACTGCTGTGATGACTCAATAGGGCAGACATGTTTTCTTTACTAATGGTCCAAGGGTCTTGTGAAAGCACCTTGGCGCTGGTTTCGGGCAGACCTGGAGCTCTGGTTTCACCCTCTACTGTCCATGTGAACTTGAGTGATTGTTCTCCAGCTTCAGTTTCCCAAGTCATAAAGCAGGGCAGCAGTAAATACCCATCAGGGTCGTATGAGAACTGAATAAGACAGTGTGAACAAAATATTGGTCTTGGCATAAATGCCTCTCTCTCCCCAACTGATTTGCAAGGGGCGTTGTAGCTACTGTAGAGAGTTGTCTGCAGCCAGTAGCACCTATAGAGTGGAGTCGCCCAGAGGGTTCAGCTGTACTTCATCTGCTCAAACGGAACGTTACTTTAACATTTACTCACACACCACAACATTGAATTTTCAGGTAGTTTTCTCTCAGTCTTTTCCATCACTTGATGAGAAAAATGTCATTGTGATGTGCTTGGTTTTATTTTTTTGTTGTCCTATATACTTTAAACCTTGATTCTTTACCTTAATAGCAATTATCTCTGACATTGAGATTTATCGATCCTAGACTTTATGGTTAGTAAGTTTAAGGTTCATGCTTCTGTTCATTAGAAAAAAAACCCTTAAATTCATATAGAAAATGCTGAGATACAAACTCAATTAAATAGTTTGAAACTTCTCATAAATCTGAAATACTTATCAAAAAATGAAATTCAAATATTTATTTGATAGAAGAGAAATGACAAGAAATATAGAGAATACAAATCAATAATACCATGCAGATTTGAAATACCATACTTTGAGTGAAATATAGTTCTTTCTTGGTAAAGAGATGTAGAATTCATACTGCTGAATCTTCATTTAACATTTATTTTATTGTTATTTTGGATTTACCTATTACCATTACATATCTTTGTAGGATATGGCTATTTTTAAAGCATGTATACAGTGAGTAATAAATAAATCAAGGGTTTAAACATGTTCTCCTCCTTCAACATACAACATTACATTATATGGTGCACATCTGAAATTCGTTCTACTGGTTATTTTGGAAGTCTGTATAAAACTGTCAATTATATTCTTTATTATGAAATACAGTTCTGAAGAAAAACAAGCTAGCTATTAAAAAAGTCTAATAAATTAACAAGGATAGATTTTTGAAAGCAAAGATAATCATAACACAGCCAATGAAAAATAATTTATCATTTCCATGTAGAGGATTGTGGGAGCTAAGAGTTTATAATCTGAAAATATCTGTGGCATCAATTGTTGGTCCAGTTAGAGATAATAATAATTCCTTAGAAAGAGATAGAAAAACTCACCCACTCTGAGTTCTTGGAAGACCACAGGTACTCTCATTTTCCAGTCATATCTGTGGTTTCCTGGATAACGCAGTAGTTGTAACTGTCATGCTTAACACTTTTGTAAAGTCAGGGGAGAAAAAGGGTAGGGGTAGGTATGAACAAATTTAAGAATTAAATGAAAATTTTAATATTTTCAAGGGAAATTTTGATTTCCTTCATTACATTCTTTATCTCCAGAAGTTCTGTTGATTCTTTTTCAGAGTATCTATCTCCTCGTGGAGTTTCTCTTCATTTTCTCATCTCCTGGAATTGGCTATCTGGTTTCTCTTACAACTCACTGAGTTTGGTTTTAATGAATATTCTGTATTCTTCTTGATGTTTCTGAGATCTCTCGTTTTAATCATTTTTGGTGAGGACTTACATCCTTTTCGGTGAGGTATTTCCTGGCTTTGTCTTATTTTTGGGACTCTGACTTTTAGTCATCTGATAATATATTCCTTTCTACTTCTCTGGGGTATGTCCCTGCAGCTGTGTGCTCACGCACTTTCCTATGGTGTGAGCTAGTGTTGTGTCTGTCGCCTCTTCTACTGTAGGTGACAGTGGAATCCACAGTGGCCATTTGGGGTTCAGACTTTCACAGGACAGTTTCTCTTCTCCTGCTGAGAGGTTTGCGGAGAGAGAATTTCTCCAATACCTTACTGTCTTGAGGTGTTTGGCTCCTGATTACCAAAACGTCTCTGCCCCATGTGGCTGGGGCTGAGCCAGACAGGTGGCATGTAAGCTAGTTGTGCAATCCGTGTGCCACACACAGCGCATGCTGGAGCAGCCCCTCCTCCTCACCGCAAGCAGAGCAGGGGTCTGTGGTGGTCGGGTCAGCCTGGCAGCATTGCCTCTTTCCTTCCCTGCTGCCCTCTTTCTCTCCACACTGCTGAATTTTGCTATAAGCAGGGAAGGCCATTTAACTCGAAGGTATTATTTGAGTTGCACTTTAGCATATCAAAATGAATAGATGTATTTATTTTCAGTCTAGTTGCCATTCTAGGCATCACGAAAATTATTTTGATCACAAAAAGATCTTTTATGTACATTTAAAAATAATGTTCAATGAAAATAACATGCCATGCAATGATCTGTGATATGGGTACTAGCCACATATAATTAGTGGGCTGTTTAATGCCAAGTTAGCTACCACACTGAGTAGGTTATAGATAGTTAAGACTAGTTTTATTCTGAAAAGAATGAAACTGTAAAAAGTTTATTTAAAGGGACCAGCAGTTAGCGTAATGGCTATGTCGCTGGACTCCCATGTAGTTGACTGTGGTTCGCATCCCAGACCCTGTGGCTTAAAACTCACGCCGGGCGCGTGTGCATGCATGCCCAAGATCCCAAGAGGAGAATGGAGGAGAAGGGATTGCAGCATGGCCATCTCCCCTGGAGGGTGATTTCTTGCTTTCTGTCTCTCTGTCTCTCTCTGTCTGTCTGGCGAGCGTAAGCACCCTATACCAAAAACCTCTCCAAAAAAAAAAATTTAAATAAAAGGGAAAGCGGTAATAAATGTTGTGGTATTCTACAGTCATTGTCCAGGTTCAGCATTTTGACCTTCTGTTTCTTAATATAATGAATCAGAAATGTTCCTGTTGAGAAACAAAAGGTCCTAAGATAAAAATGAAATTCTTTATTACACTGACAAGAGACGAAAATTATGTAAGTATAATGTAAAATTAAAAGCTAATTTTGTTTATAATAACATGATTCTAAAATTAAACACAAAATATTTGGTTAAAGATATATAAAATTGTCTTATTATTATAAGTAGTGTACTATTTATACTAAAAGAAAGATATACGAAATTAGAATAAGGAAATTATTACCTAACTATTGTGTTGTCAGGAAAGACATGATACATTTTTGCATAGAAAAATATGTCATGACTTTCCTGACCATGTAATTTATTGATATCATGATTTTTCAAAACTCAGAATTATTTACTAAATAATTTGTATAAAAATTAGGAGCTCTGCCACATAGGCAGAATTCTGAAGAATTATTTTCCTTTTTCTTCTAAAATGAGAAATAATTTTTTTCTTGCCTCAAAAAATTGTCTGTTGAATTGTTAATGAACTAGCCCCCAAAGATTACTAATGAAGCATTTGAGTTTCATCTTTAAATTGCATTGGGAAATTATCACGTCAATCATTAGGTTAACACAAGTAAGTTTATAGTCAATTAACTTTCTGCACTTAAGTGATATGACTTTGAAAATATATGATGTTTTATACTTTGACATTACATCTGCAAGAAATTCTCATAATAACTTTTAGCCTTATACTAATTACATATACACCTATCATAGCAAGCAAAAATAAAGAAAATAGCGGTGTTTCCAAAAACTTCAGTAACATATAGGATAGATATAAATCTGGGGGAACCACTGAAAGTAAAATGAATGATTAAATGGCAAATGAAATTATGAAATAAAATATGCTTTTGATGAATATTTTCTAAAACAAACACAAATTTGTAAGTATACTTCTTGATAAGATTATCATAAACATTTCTGAAAATAATAGACTATCAATATAATTTTGAAAATACTGCTATTTTATTTCTAAATGCAAAGTGTTGTAAATCATTTGCAACTGCATCTTTAAAATACTGCCCCATCCAAAAATGATTCAGATGTGGAGTTATAGATATAGAAGGTAAGGAATTGTAAATCATTTGCAACTGGATCTTTAAAATACTGCCCCATCCAAAAATGATCCAGATGTGGAGTTATAGATATAGAAGGTAAGGAATGAACTGATCCAGATGTGGAGTTATAGATATAGAAGGTAAGGAATGAACTGATCCAGATGTGGAGTTATAGATATAGAAGGTAAGGAATGAACTGGAAGAACTTCTTAAACTTCAGAACTGGCCGTAATTCACATTTGAAACTACAAACTCGACTTGATAGAGCCTAGGTAGATTTCCATCAAGACAAGTGATTAGATTCCCATTGAAACAAATGCGTATATATTGTTTAAAAATAACTTAAACTCCCCTTTGACATGTATTTATATGAGAAATAAGATAAATATGTTACATCCCAATATTAGTTAAATGAAGGGCGATGATCCAGAGTTGTAAAACACGAGAGGGTGAATTATTTGGCTTAAGGGAACATAAATGTGGTTGGGTGGAACCAACAAAGCTGGATTCCGCATGGCCACCAGGGTTTGAGTCTCAGCTCTGGAGGCTTGAAAATTACACTGAGCCTGTGTGTGCATGCCCAGGATCCTCATGGGATGGAGAACTGGAGGAAAAACATTTGTAGCATTGTGTCCAGACCCCACTGTTGGGGTAGTTTCTCTCTCTGTCACTCTTATTTGTGAGGGAAGGCAACTTCTGGCACTGAAAGATAATCATGATACAAATAAAGTTGATGTCAAAGGCCACATAAGTTTAAAACTCACAAAATGTAAAAGGAGCATTCAAGAAGAGATCATCTATGGAGAGATCATTAAAGGTACCTGACTCCCATCCCCTTCCCTACCATTCACCTTGGGTGCATACTCACTCCACCGTGGTAAAAGAGAAGATATTTTTAAAAATGTGTTCATGAATGTTGGAAGCCTTAGTTTGAAGCAGTTTAAAGTCATATACCATCTTAACATGTGGAGAGTCCACAAAGACCAGGTTTTAAGCCAGTCTCTGCCACTTCTTAGCTGTGACTTTGGGTAAGTTTCTTAACCTTCAAATCTCTTGACAGTAATGAGTGTCTTGCGATGTATGGTGGACGAAAACCCTGGGTAGGAGCTCATTCAATGGTAGCTTTCCTACCCACCACCATGCAGTAGGCTGTACCAAACCACTTAGTGTCTGTGTTTCTCCTTCTTGTTCACTGACATTCCATTTTCCCTACAGACAAAACCTTTTACACGGACATCTCCCCCAAGCCCACGACGTTTCTTCCTTCAGTTGCTGAGACAAACCTCCATGACGCTGGAACGTATCTTTGTCTTCTTGAGAAATTTTTCCCCGATGTGATTTATGTACAGTGGAAAGAAAAGAATGGCAGCAGAATTCTAGAGTCCCAGCAGGGAAAAACTGTGATGACTGATAACACGTACATGAAATTGAGCTGGCTGACTGTGAGCGGAAGTTCCCTGAATAAAGAACACCAGTGCATCGTCAAACACGAGAACAATAAAGGAGGTGTTGACCAAGAGATTCTCTTTCCTCCAATAAGGAAAGGTAAGTGGATGCAGTTATAAACATAATATTCATTTATCTTTTAATGAATGAAGTCACTAGAAGGAAAGAAGACAGAGCTGTTTAAGACACATTCAAGTCAGTTTCCAAAGTTATTTCAAAACAATTAAGTGACTATACTAATATTTTCCTTCTGGAGATTAACCCCAAAACCTGTATCTCAATATGATTTTTTTTTATTCCGTCTCATAAAAATGAAATTATGTACTAGACCTATATTCATATGGCTAAGAATTTACCTAGTAGGGAAAAGATAAACCCAGACAAGCACTGGGATTCTTTTCCTTCCTCCAACAACGATCTTTTAAAAATACTTCTGTTTTTCTCCAGGTTTCATATATTCATCGAACCATAATGTGATATGGTGTGTCTTTTTCTTTCAAGAAATAATTACATGGAATATGCTGAGCACCTGTAAAAATAATACAATTAGCTAAGAATAATTAAGATATCTAGGAGAGACTGCTCTGTTAGTGTTTACATTGATGGAATTATGCTCTATCTCTGTAGATTATTTTCTATCATGTTGGCAGATTCATTTCACAAAGTACTTTCTGCATGCCCTGTGTCTTTCAATCCCTCACAATTACACAACTATCCTTTAAAAACCGACTCTGCATTTCTGGTGTGACTCTTGGCAAGCTACTTATCTCAGCCTCATCTCCTCATTTGTAACACGGGGCACTCGTCATACAGCAACATACGTGAAGCATGTCTGGTTTCTGGAGCAGAACTGGTCACTCCATGGTGATAGCTTTGTCCTTATTGTTGCCATTATGCCACAAACACACTCCCTGGGGAACTCAGGTGCACGAAGGGGACCCCGGGGAGATGTGCAATATGGAAAACATGGCTGCTTCCTTTACTTAGCTGAAATTTTTCCTGAATCCCATCTCCTTCACACATGTCAGATTCTGCTGTGGAATGAGAGGCTTCCTGAATCTCGTCTCCTTCACACATGTCAGATTCTGCTGTGGATGTAAAATGGATGAATTCATTTGGATACTTTTTGTACAATCCCTAATGTTTGCAGTCTATACAGCAACTGTTCTGTGCATTTCTCCGTGCCTCAGTATTGCTCGA